TTTACTTTTTCATTGTTTATTAGAAGAGATGGCATTTGTTCTGATAAATATATTTTTCCTGTCTCCCTTTTTATTATGTTCCATGTTGTTTTTATTTTATTGTCTGATTTTGCTATAAGTCTACTGTAATGCTGCTTTTTAGCCTCTTTTATAACATTATTCAGAATTTTACAATACTTAACATAAAATGCTCTTGCATTTGGGTCTTTACTGTTCCTACTGTAGATAAACAGACTCCTTTTATTCTTGCAAGACACTTTTATTCCTTGCGTAATCCAGTCATTCTCTATTTTGCCTATACTTTCATATGTAATCGGAAAACTAGCTTCAAAAATATTTATAAAAGTACACAAAAATGAGTTAAAAGTTTTTTGGACTTTGTCCATCATTTAAATTCAGTATTTCCAAAGATGATTTCTGCTGTTGTAATCAGGTAAAGAGGGAGAAATAGGTCAGAAAACCTATCTGTTGGGCCCCCTAGTTGAGCTAACCTCAGGCGTGGCCCATCAGAGCATTTAGAACTGCTCTTTGCATAATTTATTCTTCTAAAATAGAGCTTAGTTACTTTTGCACTGCAGAAACATGTTAGCAGAACATCAGATGTTCTTTAAATGCAACCATATATTTATATTTGAAGTTTTTGTGCTGACTAAACTCAATGAAATCTTGTTGGGCAGTCAGCAGTGTCAGCTGGTTACACAAAGAGACCTTCTATGTCCCCATCAATTGACACAGCTGATCGCCCATAAGATTTTATTGAGCCATATATATGTATTCCAGATGAGGGCAGAGTTTACAAAGTGGTACAGTGGTATGATTCAAGTGGAGAATCTTCATCCATACTCCTGGATGTTTTTGATGTGACTCCTGGGGAGCCGATCCATTTAATGGAAATATCACGACAAGTAAGGGTCATATACAATCATTGTGTATGATAAGTTTTTCAAAGTAAGCAGGATGATATGCACAGGGCATGTAGCATGCATGGGTGAGATGAGATGAGATGAGATCCCTTGTTCCTGTAAGAATGTTTCTCGTTAATAATATTTATTTTAATTTTTATCCATTAGCATAAATTCCTGTATGTGGCTTCTGATCATCGTATCCGCCAGATCGACCTAGTGATGTGCAACCGACGTTATGACAATTGCCTTCGTTGTGTTCATGATCCATATTGTGGATGGGACAAAGATACCAATTCCTGCAAACCCTTTACACCAGGGTAAGGGACAGATTCAATTATTAAAATTAACAACTGAAAATAGATTAAGCACTGTATGTATTATAGTTTGTAACTGTGTTAACAGAACAAATTGCTGTCAGTATTTTAAATGTTCAAAGTGAATAAAGGTTGTGTAAAGGTTATGTAAATGGTCTTCATAGTGTTAGTTATAAAAAATTAAATCCGTGGCATAACAGCTGGCCTCACGTTCACGTGCCTGAGCAGAGGTGAACGATCATCCAACCAGATATAGGATGACGTGTGGTCAGCACGACTTTCATGACCGGATTACGCTACTTATTGTAGCTCCCTAATTTCCTCACGATGCTGGGTTGGCACCGGTCCCATACACTGGTCGAAAGCTCATGAGAAAATTTCTTCTCCCCCCAGACTCGAACCAGCGCGCATTCCATACCGCCGGTCCGAAACATGATGCCTCAGACCGCGCGGCTATAGCGCAGGACACAGTGTTAGTTATACACTTTTTATATTGGCAGAGTTGATGTGTGCGTGTGTGACATTTTTAAATATAATGTTATCCAGATATTTTAATATTTTGCAAAAGTCTAGTAAATACAGAAAATGAAAAAGATCCTATAAATATAATTTGTCTCATCATTCTATCCTATCTTGTAAAGCATCTTCTTTCTTATTCCCTGAATATCTTTGGTGATGGTGGTACTAATTTCTTTGTCTCATACTTTCTCCATCATCTGTTGAATGTTAAAAATTCACATTGTTTCAAAGAATGGATTGTCTTTCATCTTGAGTTAAAAAAGTTGTATCCAGTAGACCAAGTTGTTCCTGATCTATGGACATCCACAGATTAAGAACATCTCTATCTACCAGATCCAACAGAATAGGCGTCCTGCCGCTTTTTACCTGAAGATGAAGGAAGATCCAGCTTTTGAAACATCATGTTTTTTAAGTTTTTTTTATAAACATTCACCAGATAAAAGATGAAGGCCAAAACAACGAAAATAGTCTCCTTTCTTCTGGTATGTTCCTGGGGGCATGACATCAAGTATCTGTGATGATTGTGTGATTGCAGGTTGCTGCAGGATGTGTCCAACAGTACAATGGGTGTCTGTGACAGTAGTGTAGTGAAGAAGAAAATGGTTGTTACATGGGGTCAAAGTATTCATTTGGGATGCTTTCTCAAAATGCCGGAGGTGCTGAGCAGTCAGACAGTTACTTGGTTCCATTACAACAAAGAGAAGGGACGCTATCAGATCGTATACAGGTTCGATTCATTGTCATTTATGCATTTGGACATGTTTGTAATGCCTCTTTTTATGGTTTTTGCCTGCCTGGCAAGGATCTAGGAATTTCAGGGCATTTTTCTATGGCATACATGTATGCATACATATGTATGGTGTTTTCAGTTTTGATGTCAAAATGCTTTGGAGGTGGTTATGAATGTATTGTCTCCATCTCAGGGTTGAAGTGACAATGAAGATGGAGGCAATATGTTCATCCGAAACCCTCGTAAACACGTATAAGACTGCGTGGCATTATAACCCAGAAGATTACAATCAATGTCTTTACTTAGTCATAAGAACCTCAAGTCTGCATCATGAATTTGCATACCAACTTTGTGCTTTCAAAACAACGACTGCATCTCCCAGGTCACATTATTACTGAGATATAACACACATTAACCTTTCTTAATCCAATTCCTACCTTCCATCTTCGTTTTTCTCATTTTAGTTCTCTTCATTATTTTCTTATCTTTATTTTCCTTTCTCCCTCCCTTGCTTCCTCCCGCCCCCTCCTTCCCTGTGTGTTCTCTCACAGTCTTTCGTGAGTTTATTTATTTCTTCCAAATTTCAAGTGTAAAAAATATACATTATTTCTATCTTCTTTATCCCCCCTTCTATAGATTTCTTTTTATTTCTTTTGATAGAAATTTACAAGTTGTACAAGCTTAAAAGTGTCCAGGAAACATACGAATGTTCTGTTATCCATTCCTTTAAACGCAGTTTGTGAAGTACATGTTAGTGATTATATTATCAATTTTTTAATGTGTTGTATGTCGCAGGCCAGACAAGTACATAGAAACTTCAGAACATGGGCTGGTGATTATTGCTGTTAATGAGGCTGACTCTGGACGTTATGACTGCTGGATGGGAGGGTCACTGCTGTGCAGTTATAACATCACTGTAGACGCACATCGTTGTGCCCCACCGGGCAAGTCTCATGACTATCAGAAGGTCTACTCTGATTGGTGTCATGAGTTTGAAAAGTACAAGATGGCTATGAAGACGTGGGAAAGGAAACAGGCTGTAAGTATCAATCTCAGCTTACACCCCTGGTCTGATATTTATATTTCATACAGAAATATAGTAATGTTTAAAAGAAGCAAATAATAGCGCAAAAGAAAATGTAGATAACACGATGAAAGGTAAAACTCACGTAAAATTTCCCAGTCTACATGCTTGACAGCTACATTTTTAGTAATACACCTCACTCCATTTATACTTTAACTTCATCAAAAAATTATTTTACTCTTCCTCAAAAAACATAGGTTACTGAATCCATATTGACATGTCTGACTGAATATGGATAATTGCAATATAAGGGGATCTCTCTGAAAGGCATTTGATTACTTCAGTTCTTAATTTCATTCCACTAGCCACTCGGTAATGTTGAACTTATGAATTGGCGTTAGAATTTATAAATTTCCAAATAAAAATGACTGGTACCATTTTCCATAAATGTCTACAGAATATTAATGACATTATCTGCAATCCTTTACTGAACTGTCTCTCTGTTTATTATGTTGCTATTATGGCTGTCAACTGATTATAATATGTAAATGATTATCTGTTTATAATAGATACATAATACATAATTAAAAACTGCTACTAATTAACACTGGTATTAACAAAAAATGTTTGGCTAATTTTGAAGATGGCTGTCTTCTGGGTTGTTGCGCCATGTAGTGTGGTAGAAGTTTACCGACGTTTCAGAGGTCCTTGCTACCTCCGTCATCATGGTGATTGCCCTGATTACACAGTGTAACAACCCAGAAGACAGCTTTCTGCAGACTCACTGCCATGAAAACCTCAAATCCTGCTTGGCCTATTGTGATTTCAAGTTAGGCCAATGAGTTGAATATATCAAAACAAGTCTTGATGTATGAAATAACAGTGTAAAATGTAAAAGCCATGAGCGCAGTCCATGCATGTGACATTCCAAGTTAAATTTTCAGGCATAATGCTCATCATAACCATATAATTGACGTAACCCCGGGGGTACGCATACCCCAGGTTTAATACCACTGGATTAAAGAATGTAATGATTAATTAAAGAATTAACTAGTCAAATGAGAGAATTTACTTAGTTACTGTTATATATATATGTATATTTAAAAATTATCCAGAATGTAAAGTAATAATTTTCTTTTCTCTTGCAGCAATGCAGCACTAGGCAAAATGACAGTAATCAGAATACACATCCTAATGAAATTTATCATAGAAGTCCATTAGTCTGATAGTCGTTAAAAGAATCTGAAGTATTTCGCTTCCGTTGGACTCTCATTTTGTATATAGAGCTCATGAGCGCAAGACGGTAAAAATAATAAGCCTGGTATGTACCGTACATTTTAGACCTTCTGTATTTGCCCGTGGCACAACATTAGAAACTGTTGCAGGTCCCATTGTCATGCAGTGGTCCAGTCTGTCCCAGGCACGCATTTATGATAATAATAATAATAAGAATAACAATAATGTATATGCAGTGCTGGACCAGCATCTCTGTTCCGAGAGTGGAGTAGATCTGTGATATTCTGACATAGCAAACAGTGAAGGGTTCTGTAGTGAGTGCGGTGATACGTGTGTTTGGACAGACAGCGTCGGTTGTGTTGGGGGTTAAGGAAATTTTAGAATTAGAACTAATCCTGTTATAGAAGAGAAGACATTTCTAAAATCATTGTAGCTTTTAAATAATAAAATTAAAACGAGTACTTGTCCTCATAGTAAGAGTCGCACGTACTACATCGTGTGGTGTACCTTTATTATGAGAGTGTGTATATGTGAGTGTGATTTTTTAAAATGTGTAAAGATTTCTTTTGTATGCTGATCAGTGTTTGAAGATACATATAATATTTCAATGAGAATGGTGTCATTTCCACATAAATGATTTAAATACTTTATTCTGATATGCGAGTGATTTAGCGAGGAAATGAAGAGTTTGATGTTGGAAGTTCCAAATGACACCAGATGTGATTCAAAAGGTGCTACATGTTACATATTTGTGAAATGATGGAAGTTTTATCCACATTTACACTAAGGAATCAGCCAATATATATCTTTTATCCTTTCCAACCTTAATTACTGCACAGGAAGCAATATAAAAACCTGAGGATATAAGAATATTCAGGGCTAAAGTAGATTTTGTGGTTGGCAATAAGAAATTACCATTGACTAATTGGCTAATAAGACTTAACATTTTCACTATTATAGTTTGGCAGAATGGCTGGCTGCATTGTTTCATGATGGAATTAAAATTGCTGATTTTTAACATTCCCTTCTGCATCGTAGTTTCTAGTAAAGACATAGAAAGGCAGTGATGCAAGTAGTGGTCCATTCTTGACAGCGTCTACATAAAACATTGTCCCTACTGTAGGAATTAAAATAAGAGTATGCAGTGCTTCTGTATATTCTTAGGCAAAGAAGTGAGGACAGTGCACTAAACCACAGTTACGTACTCAGGTTGACATTGAAATTATTTAAAGATTCAGTAACTTGCTGAATGCTGAAGTTCTCATAATATTAAAGTTAATAATATCTTGGTAGAGGTAGAGGATTATTTAAAGGTACTATCCTGAAGTCGCCAGTCACAGTGGCTGCATAGTCTGAGGTGTGGGCCTTGTGCATTTGGACACTGGGACCATGGATTTGAATCCCGTTCAAGTAATTGATATTTGTCCGTGTCTTTCCGTGTTGTGCTGTTCTATGTACAGATAGAGGCCTTGCAACAGGCTGATCACTCATCCAAGGAATCCTACCATATGTTTAACCTTTATCCTACTTGCGTTCCTTGTCAGGAACATAAGTTGAGTACTCGGCCCTACGAACGTTCCTTGTGCGGAACGTAAATATTTGCAACATTGTAAGGAGACTTGGCTACGTCTTTTGGCCTCTTTAGGGGATACAAAAATTGAATCACTTTCTCTAGGGTTCTGACAAGTTCAACCTGAGCTGTCAACCTTAAACTATAACCATAAAGCAATAAACTTTGTTTATGTCAAGTGGGTTTCGGCTTCATTTTCAGACCCCCTATTCAAAGCTACTCACATTCCTGGGCATGATGGGTGAAAAGAATGTGTATCCACTAAATTAGAGGGAACAGTTATATTATTCTTTCTTCAGTGTGGTGGAAAGAAAATCACACACAGAGAATTTTGACTTGCCCTAATGAGAAATATGCTAGCACATGCTGGACAACAACAGCCATGTGTACACAGACCACCAGGTAGGCCAGCAAATGTTGCCAATAAAGTCACCAGACTGGACACTACTGGCCTGTTCCATCTAATCGCCTGCGATGTCGCATGTGTTCAGCTCGCGGGGTAACAAGAAAAATCAGTGTGAAGTGTTAGAAAAGTGAGGGGGGTTTATGTATGGACAAAAACTGCTTCTTGGAATATCACACCAAGACACAGCTGTAAAAGTATTCAAGTGCAAAACGCTTCACCAACAAAGCCTCCAACCAAAATGTAAGTAAAATAAACTCGAAATTTAGAAACTTATAGATATTTAGTATATATTCAGGCAATTAATAAGACATCATATTGCGGTTCTGTTACTCTGAGGTACTTTTAGGATTAGTACCTTTAAATTGACTGCGACTGCACCTCTGAAATGTCTTTAAAATACCAATCAATGTAACATTTATTACTGAGTAACTCAGTCACATGGCACAGTGATGTAATTTTGAAAACAAAATAAGTCAAGATCAACATATATGACTGAAGATGTCCTTAGAGGGAGATATTTGTGTGTTCGTAATAAATAATTTTGATTTCACATACTGGACCACAGTTCTGCTATCCAGAAAAGCAATGTACATATTTGCACATAGTTATAGAATTAGTATTTTGGTCTTGAATAAGCATTTATTTGCAGTTGCATTGTAAAAATGTTTACATAAAGCATGGTTTTAATGTAACATGCAAAATGACTTGAACTTTGTCTCGTATCAGTACAATATTTGGAATTTCTTATGGGGGAGAATAGGACACCTGTGAATGGAGATGATAATGACCAGGTTAATAAATCTTACATTTGGAACTTGCAATATTTGAAATATATGATAAATTTCAAATTTGGTGGCTTATTCTGACATTGTTTACAAAGGACCGTTATACTGCTCTTGTCACAGCGTTTGTAATAACTTAGTTGAAAAGAGCCATGAATTTTCACTCAGTTTGATGAAATAATATTATATGCAGTTTTACATCTTTCACAATTTGTCGTAAACCTAGTATTAGGATTAGTTCCTTAAGATACAATGTGAAATTTGAAGTGAGAGAAATGTATGCTAGTTGCCAGCCTCACTGCAGGCTTCCACAACATATAAGTAATAAATTGAAAGAACTTCATACCTCCTGCTTAGTCTTAATGATATGGCAGTAACTTCTTACACACATGTCACAACCAGGAACAATGTGTTCCCTCTCTGTTACAAACAGAGAGGGCACACATTGTTATCCCCATGTATGGGCAGTGTATGTGCTAACAAGTTCTGATAATTATCTTGCATGTGTAATTAGTGAAAGCTATGTTATTTTTAATAGGCTGCCGGCGACTGGTGTATCAATTTCAAAATCCGAAAATTTCTCAAAAAGTTAGTAAATGTTAAAAAAACGAAAATAATTAAAAATGTTCGAAATTTTCGAATTTTTTTTGAAGTTGAAGTTTTCCAAAAAAGATTAGTCTTGTGCGCTTTTTGAACGTTTTCCTAAGTATTTTGATTTTTGAATTTTTTTTAAAATTTTCAAAATTCACCGAAACCTATATCTGCTGGACTATGTCTTTGCTTGACCGGGTCTCCGCCGGACTCGGCCTCTAACGACCCGTTCTCTAACATACCGGGTCGAAGACGGACAATGTCTGTGCCAGACACTGTCTCTCCCTGACCCGGTCTCTGCCATACCATGTGTAAGCCGGACTGGACGCGCTTTCGTTGCTAAGAACGTATCGGACAGACAGGTTAGTCATAGACCTTGTTCGCCAGAGACAGGGTGAGGCAGAGAATGAGTCCGGCAGAGACCTTGTTAGGAAGAGACTGAGTGAGGCCGTGGCAGAGACGAGTTCTAGCTAATAGATGTTCTTATGAGGATCGAGTCGGGCGAATTTTGAAAATTTTTCGAAAAATCAAAAAATTCTGGATATTGTCTAAATAGCGCAGAAAACCAAAAAATTTCGAAAAATATGAAAAAAATTTGAAATGAAAATTTTTCAATTTTTTTTAATTTAGTGTGCCATTTGGAAGATTTCCATGATTTTTTGATTTTTTGAAAATTTTGAATTTCCTTCAAAATTTTACCCAACCGATACATGCCAGACTCGGTGTCTTACAGTTTCTGTCTCTGACGTACGCTCTCACTGAAGAAGTCGGACTCTGCTGTACCCAGTCTGCACCATCCGGTTCTGTATGACCTTTTCTCACGTGCCCTCTTTGCAAAACGTATCCGGCGGAAACGGGTTAGTCATAGACCTCGTCCGCGAGTGCCAGGTTGAGGCAGAGAACGTGTTAGGAAGAGACTGAATAAGGCACTGAGCTGGTGAGGCCGTGTCCGAGTCATGTAGACATGGTGTGGCAGAGACGAGTTCTAGCAGAAAGCTGTACAGATGAGGTTCGGGTGGAGCGAATTTTGAATTTTTTTTAAAATTGTCGAAAATTTAAAAAATGCTGGAAATTGTGTAAAACATGTACAAAACCAAAAAAATTTGAAAAAAATTGAATTGATTTTTTTTAGTTTTGTGTGCCATTTCGACGATTTCCATTACTTTTTGAGAAATTCCATTATCGAAATTTTTTCGAAAATTTCGAAAATTATTGGTTATTTTCGCTTTTCACGACATTTACAACCATTTTTACATTTTCAAAAAATTTCAAAATTTATCAAAGTTTTCGAAAAATCAAAAAATGCAGGAAAATGTCCAAAAAGCGCACACAACTAAAAATTTCTTTGAAAAGTTCGGACTTCGAAAATTTTTACGAAATTGTTTTGTGGGCTATTTAGACAATTTACGTGGTTTTCCGATTTTTCGAAATTTTTTGAAAAAATCGAGATATTTTCTAAGCTATCGCTATCAGAACTGTTCTCTACTGCACCCGGTCCCTACCAGACTCTATCTGCCTCACCAAATTTCAACCACATTCGGTCTGTGCTTCACACGGCTCTGCTGAATGTGTCTGTGCTACACCCAACCTCTGTTTGACACGGCTTGTGCCACACAGAGCCTCCGTTTGACGCGGTCTGCGCTTCACCCAGTCTGCTTTACACGGCACCTGCCTCACACAATCTCTGCTTGACGCGTTCTGAGCCTCACCGAGGTCCAAACTGCGCTGGACACGGCCTGTACCACAGGGCCTTTCCTTGAAGCGCTTTGTGCTTCACCCTGAATCTGCCTCACACGTTCTCTGCTTTAGTCGGTCTGTGCCTCACAGCCTATCGAACCAGGTCTTAGTAGCGACGGCCTGTATCGACTGCCTCACCAGCTCTCTGCCTTACTCAGTCTCTTCCTCAAAATCTCTGCCGGACGCGTTCTCTGCCTCAGACTGTGGCGGACAACGTCTCCACTGGAAGCATCCCTTCCAACGATGGCTCGTAACAAACTGCCAAAGAGAGACCGGATGGCCTAGAGACTGTGTACAGCAGGGTCCCTGTCCGTCAGTGAGATGGTACGTCAGAGACAGGCCACGCCAGAAAACGTGTCAGGCAAGGTATCGGGTGGGGAGAATTTTGAAGCAAATTTTCAAAAAATCAAAAAATGCTCGAAATCCTCCAAATGGCGCACAAAACTAAAAAAATTGGAAATTTTCACTTCAGAATTTTTTCTGAGACAGAGACAGGCCACGCCAGAAAAAATGTCTGGCACGTATTGAGTGGGGAGAATTTTGGTACAAATTTTCAAATTTTTCAAAATTTACAAAAAATCGAAAAATACTGGAAATCTTTTAAATGGCGCACAAAACTGAATTTTTTTTGAAAATGTTCACTTCAAAATTTTTTAGAAATTTTTCAAAAAATTTTGGTTTTGTCCGCGTTTTAGACAATTTCCAGCACTTCTTGTTTTTCAGAAAATTTTCAAAAATTCTCCATAACCGAAGCTCACTAGAACAGCTTCCTGCTAGAACTCGTCTCTACCACAGCAAGTCTCTGCATGATTCGTTGACAGCCTCACCGGCTCTCTGCCTTACAAGGTTTCTGCGTCATATTGTGTCTGGCGGACAACGTCTGTGTCTCACCCGGTCTCCGCCGGAAACGTTCCTTGCAACGACGGCGCGTAAGAAACAAGGCCATAGAGAGACCGGGTGGTCTAGAGACTGTACAGCAGAGATAACATTTTAAGCGAATTTTAGAAATCGACGCCTACCATCGCGACGCCTTCAAATAAATCCAAATTCACATAAGGTGTTTCAAATAACAGGGAGCACTCATTTAGAAAACCGACGCCGAGCGCCGTGACGCCATCACATGACGCCAAAAATGGCGTCAAACCCGTTGTATTACGATGGGCACGATGCTAGATAGTCAACGCCGATCAGAGGGACAAACACGTCGTGGCGCCGTGGGCGAGGAGTGGATACCGTTAAATATATACGGTCTAACCTAACCTAAACAAACCTAACCTAACCCAACCTAACCTAATCTAACCTACCCTAACCTAAACTAACCTATCCTAACCTAACCTAACTTAACCTAATCTAGCCTAACCCAAACCAACTTAGCCTAACCTAACCTAACTCAACCCAAACTAAACTAACCTAACCCAACCTAACCTAACCTAGTCTAGTCTAGTCTGACCTAACCTAACCCAACCCAACCTAACCTAACATAACCCAACCCAACCTAACTAAACTAACCTAACCTAACCTTACAGAACCTGACCTAACCTAACCCAACCTAAACCTAACCAAAACCCAAGCCAAGCCAACCCAACCTAACTTATTCCAAACTAACCTAACCTAACCTTGGCGCTTCCTAAAGCCACCGCAATACTTGGCTTGCATCGAATAAGACTAGGCACAATGATAGTGTATAGACGCTTGAGACGCTGAACATGGCGACGCATTCGAAATACGCCAAACTTATCACAGATAAGTCCACAGAAGACAAAATACGAAAGTGAAAAACCGACGCCGAGCGTCGCGACGCCATCACAGTACATCAGGAGGACTTAAACAGTTTGTATTACATTGGGAGCGATTTCAAGAAATCGACGCCCGGCGTTGCGACGCCTACCATCGCGACGGCTTCAAAAGACGCCAAATTTACATCTGAGAAGTCTCTAGATTAAAGTGATATTGAACTAGAAAACCGACGCCGAGCGTCGCGACGCCATCACAGTATCACACGTGTGCGTCTCAAACAGTTGGGATAACATTTTGAGCGAATTTTAGACATCGACGCCTTCAAATAAAGCTAAATTCAGATGTTTCAGATAACAGCGAGCACTCAATTAGAAAACCTTCGCCGAGCGCCGTAACGCCATCACATGACGCCAAAATATGGCGTCAAACCCGTTGTATTACTGCGGGCACGATGCTAGATATTCGACGGCGATCAGAGGGACGAAACACGTGGCGCCGTGAACGAGAAGTGGATATCGTTCAACATATACGGTCTAACCTAACCTAAACTAAATTAACCTAACCTAACCTAACTCAACCTAACCCAACCAAACCCAACCTAAATTAACCTAACCTAACTTAACCTAACCCAACCTAACCTAACCTACCTAACTCAACCCAACTAAACTTAACCTAACCTAACTTAACTTTGCCTAAACCAACCTAACCTAACCCAACCCAACACAACCCAACACAAAACCACCCAACCCAACCTAACCTAACCTATCATAACCTAACCTAACTCAAACTAACCTAACCGAATCAGGCACAGACCTCATTCGTCAGACACAGTACATCAGAAACAGTCAGAGTGAGGCCGGTTCTGCATGGCATCAGGAGGGTAGAATTTTGAAAATTTTTAAAATTCTCAAAAATGCTGGAAATTGTCAAAAAAGCGCACAAAACCAAAAAATTAGAAAAATTTCACCTTCGAATTTTTTTCAAAATTTTAAAAAATACTTTGTTTTGTGCGCGGTTTTCAAACAATTTCCAGCATATTGGGATTTTTTGAAAATTTTGAAATTTTTGAAAATTCCACCCAGAACCATTCAATCTCGGACTGTTTCTGATATACTGTGTCTCTGACGAATGAGGTCTGTGCCTGACTCGGCCTCTGCACGGAGCGGTCTCTGTATGACACGTCTCTGACCTGCCGTCTCTGACAAGGAGAGGTGCGGCAGACAACACATATGGCAGAGACCCTCACCAGCAGAGACCGAGTCCTCTAGAGGCCGGTTGGC